TACAAGCTCCCTATCCTTGAGCTTAAAATCTACCAGGGAGGTCCAACATGTGCGTATAACTGAGAAATAAGGATGGACTTTGAAAATGAGACGATAAAGACACAAGAGGTAACTATGGGAGCAGGACAAAGAATTAGAGACAACCTTATGGAAATTTTTGAAAAGGCAGGGAAAATTTTAGCAGGGAGAACAGGAAAACACTTTTCATGTTCACAAGCGTTAGTATGCATCAGAATCCGCTGGAGGGCTTATTAGAGCACAGGCTGCTGGGCCTCACTTTCAGAGTTTCTGATGCAGCAGGTGTGAGGTTGGCCTGCGAATGTGTATGTCTAACAAGTTCTCAGGTGCTGCTGATGCTGCTGGTCCTGACACAACACTCTGAGGAGCACAGTGTGAGCAGAAGGACAGTGAGGGCACAGGTGGAATGTATTTGGGAGATGGCGAATTGTCGGGGTTGGCCAGAGCGTGGGACATGGCAGATATAGGTCATTTGAGGTCAAAGAGTAAAAGACATTGGATGCCCGGAGAGACCACTGAAGCTTTTTGAGCGTGGGAAAAGCAAGGCCAGTTCCCATTTCCTATAAAGGAAGAAAGAGCCATTGTTGATAAAGTGGTAGGTTCTAAGAACAGCTTGTAGGATGCATTTGAAGGGAGAAAATCAGAGAGGTGCTTAGTCCCTAAGAGAGGGAACAAGGGCCTGAACTAGGATCTCGAGACTGAAGGGGAATGGAGAGGGCATCAGACACAACACAAAGTGCCTCCTACCTGATGGGCAACTGATACAATGCGTGGCGTGAGGGAAGAGGGGGCATTAGGACTTTCTTCTAGGCTAAAAGTCTGAATGATGGCAAAGAGGATGGTGCTCTCACGAGACTGGAGTAGAAGTATGCCCAAGAGATAGGATAGTGGAATTAGTTGTAGAAAATCAAGGCCCATGTAGGTTAAAAAATGCAGATCAGGAACTCCAAAGATGTATATTTTGGAGGCGGGTACTAAAGTCTTAAGACTGGATAGGATTGCTAATAAAGAGAATGTACACGGGTTATCAGGCCAAATACACAGTACTGAGATGCACTTAGTAGGGAGGGATAGGAAACTGGGGACTTGCGATTTAGGAAGCAGGAGAATGAGAAAAATGCGGCATTACGAAGCCAAGGGATGGAAGTATTATGACGGACTTTAGTCAACAGTGGCAAATGCTACTAAAACTTAGAGGAAGCAAATAAGAAAGAGGCCATTCACATCGACAATTAGTAAGTCATTGGTGTCTTCCAGAGAATGACATCACAGGGCAGAATTTGGGGACTCATGTATGAACGGGAGGTGACAAGGGGAGGCTGTTAAGGGCTGAAGAGGACTGCTTGCGACTAAGAAAATGTGAGCCAGAATTTCAAGCCACATAAATGTTTTGTGCTTTTTAGAAAAGGAAAATATTTGAGGCCCTGTGATCTCAAGTAGAGCAGGTCATTTAAGAAGAGATTTAGTCAAAAAAGAATTTGAAGAATTTGATTTGACACCTCAACAAGCATTGTTAAATAAATTCCATACAATGTGCTAATTGATGAATTTCAAGTGTGATATATTCAAGAGCACAGATGAGTCATTTCCTCCAAGATAACATTGTCTGACTTTACTAACAAGACAGCTTAATAGGTTTACCCCAAACTTTACCAAAAAAAAAAAAAAGTTAAAAAGTCAAATCCCAAACAACCCACATGTGACCAGAAAGAAAAATTCTTTTTCTATACATATGTTGAGGATAATAGGGGTGGATTCTGAATGGCATATGAAGTGCTGATTGTTATTACTGTACAATTTTGTAGCAATAACATGTAAATTAGGATAATATTTTTTAATAAACTCCCCATGAAGGTGGTGGGCCTAATCAGACTTAGTGGTGCAGGTGCAAGGGAGGAAGGGAAGAGACTGGAAAGACAGGGCACCTTTGTAAATCCTGCCTCATCTCCCACCTCGTAGGTCCTGATTAGCTTCCACTCTTGGCTCCAGGTACTGGAGTTCTGTAATTTACTGAGGGCAGCAGTGCTGACACATATAACTTTCAAATAAGAGAACACACAGAGAAGTGATGAAATAATGGACCATACAGAATCAAGCTCAGCAGAGCACAGATACAACAGTGCAGCTTGACAACAGAGCACAGTGTAACACACAAGGTTTGAAAGGGCAGCCTGGTATTTTAACATGTGTGCTCATTTCTATTACATTATACAATGTGTCTCCTCCTCCTTAAAAAGCCACACATATATCTTCACATAAGGTTTTTATTTTGTCACTCTTGTAATCTAAGAGCATAGAATGGATTTAATCAATTTTCTCTTAAAGAAGGAAAAAAAAACTTGTGATGACTTTAAAAAATTTCTCCTTTTAGAATAAAATGACTGAGATGAAGATCTTGGGTGTGATGGAGTTTCGAGAGGTAATCAATTCCTATGTGGTTAAGCTTAGGATATCATATTTCACTGATTCTACTGTACACACTTTTAAAAAGATTTTAACATTTAAGAAAGGATGCATTTATAATTGATCTGATAAAAAAGCATTGTGTCATGGTTTAATTGGTTTTTCCTTTTTGGTAGCAGATTAATACATCCTACAATTGATGGCATTGTAGATTCAGTGAAACAAAGTAAATTCTTTCCAAATTTCCTAGAATCACTTGGATCAGGCAGGTCATCTCTAAAACTGCTCTTTTTTTGATGCTTGTATATATATATCTTTTCTTTTTTAAAAATTTGCCATATGCACCTGGGAAGGTGAAATTTTAATCTAGTGATACATTCTATTTGCTAGCACATAAAGCATGATTAATTTTGTGTGTGCTTTTTGTTCCTAAAATTGTTTTTTTATTTTATATTCTTACAAGTTGCTAATGAGGACTACAAACTAATGAGCACTGACATATTTTTTTCAATAAACAGGTTAGACTAGAAATAGACGAATATAGACAGAAGTTAGTATCTACTTATCAGCTTTGGCATTAACTGGCTATAAAGTTTTACTCTAATTATATAAAATACTGCATGGCTCAATTTTGTCATGATTTTAAGGGGTACAGAAATTCAAAGGGTTGTGGGAGGTTAAATTATCACACCAGAACCTAGAAATTATATTTTCTTTTCCAATTTCAACAATTTGAATCAGATGAGGCTACTAATATGGTATATATATGTAATGCTAAGCCAGGATATCAAGACTGGATCTGACAATTTATGAACTCCCTTCTCAGGGGCTTAATTCTTATTTATATGAGTAAAGATATTGGCTTATATGTTGCAAAGAGATCTCCTATTTCAGGATTCTAGGATACTGGGAAAGAACTGAGGCAGAGTTTCTATTTGGCTCATTAAGCTTTATTAAATAGTTCTCATTTGCAGAAGACTTTTCTTGCTCTTTATCTCAAGTTTCCCCAGCTTAATTTAGCCTCATTAATTCCAACCAAATCGCCAGATGATCTCTAAGATGCCTTACAGTTTTAAAATTCCAGATTCTGCTAACTGCTTCCTTCCTAAACTTCTACAGACTCTTAGTTCCTTCTTTGCAATTAATTCCTCCCCCTTCTGCCATCCATGCCCCGGCACAGCTGTCAGCCAAGCAGAGGATATCCTGTTCTTTTTATTTTTATTCTTACGTGTGAACCCTTGTGATTTATTTTTGTGGCCTCATTCTGAACTCATTCTCCTTTGCCTACATTCCTTGTAAGAATGAGATGCCCAAACCATATGCACCTGGGAAGGTGAAATCTGCCAACACACGGTCCAAGAGGACACATGGTGCCAACTCTGTGGACTCAAGACCATCAGTCCCATGGTCCTGCTGACCGTCTCACTAATATGACACAAACAATTGAGCTTTATCACCAAATTAGACTCTGTTTCCCCAGAATTCATTTGTACCCATCTTTTCAGTCTTTTCTCCCATCTTGACTATTATCAATATATATATTAACATGCTCAAAATCTTTCTCTAAAGTACTTTCTCTAAAGTAATAATTTACCACAAATCAATAATTCAAGACACACCATTGCACTTGTCATTTGCTTTAGTATTCTGAATACAAAATTCAAAAACCCTAATGAACCACTATATATAATTACTATATATTATCTTTCCAGAAGTTTCACCTTATTTTAAAAAATTCTTCTACTTAAAAGTTTACTGGCACAATTCACTCCTTAGAAACTGAGAGCTGGAAGGGTCTCTGGGGAATGAAATACTCGAGTTGAATTTTAAACTTCTTTAACTCAGTATTTTCTACACCAAACAACACTTTTTCTTTGTTATGACTGACTTAATGAATTCACATTAAAATTAGGAGTCACTCTGCTGACTTCAAGTGAAAAAACGATGGCATACAATGAGACATAAAATCAATTTGCTTAACTTGAACCTAAGAAAGATTTGTAGTTGGCACAAAATACAAAAAGGATCTAGTCAGTCTCCCTGCATGTGTTACCCACTCACTATCCTTCTTGGGTTGTATCCTTTTGGTGAGATGCCTAGATTTGGGGATTTTTTTCTCTTGCAGATATCAAATGACGATCCCTGGATATAAAAGAATTAACTCCAGGGATTCATATCCCCTAAAACTCATTCTAATCAAAGAAAAGAATAAACATCCAGTTTAAAATTTTCCTTTGTCACTGCTTCCTGTTTCTTTGTTCCTCCTTGATGGAGTAATGGAATGATCATGGGGCTGGAGGTCAGAAGTTTGATGTGTCAACAAAAACGGCCAGTGTGGCTAGAGTGCACTGAAGGAGGAAAAGAGGGGTCTAAGGAAAGGTTGATACAGTAGGTGGGCTGAGATGGACCAGGGTCTCCACTGGCCACAGGGTGGATAAAGCTGACACCTGCCTTCCCCTGCACTCCCACTGCAGTTGGTATCTCCTCCATCGAAGCCATTAAATTGTTCTCTTCCATTATTACTGTTCACTCCCTTTTCCTACTAGTCTTTAAGCTACAAAATATTATGGAGAAGATGCACAAAGAATGATTTATTGAGAAAAGTATGAATGAGTTAGTTTTCACTTACATGTCCCATGGTTAGAGCCACTGCAGTTACTGAACTGAAGAGCCAGTGGATAACAAATTTGTTGATTACCAGATTAAAAATTCAATGAAAGTACGTGTCCTGAAATTACTACACAATAGCAGTCCACGAATGTATGTTTTTGGTTGTTGATCTGTGTTAAATAGTCTCTTCCCAGGGGCTTCTGGAAGGGCCCAGTTGCCCCTTAGCTGCTTGCAGACTGGATGCTACAGAATTGACAATGCGTTTGCATCCCATCAATCTGTCTTACCACATCTATTGTGTACACCCTAGACTAGCCATCTCCATCACTCCTGGAAGGCCTCAGGTATTGCAAGATCAATTCTCTTCTCTCCGACTGGAGTTCTCTTGTTAGTCAGCCTCCTCTCAACCTCTCTCTGTCTCTCTCTCTCTCTGTCTCTCTCTGTCTCTCTCCCTCTCTCTCTCTCTCACACACACACACACAATGCTAGGCTTCCCTAGGCTTTCCTGAGTTTGATATACGGGCTCTGAAGTCTGACTCTTCTACTGAAAAGCTTTGTGCCCTTGAGTGGGTGAGTTAGTATTTCTAAGCCTCAGTTTTCTCTTCCATAAAGTGGAAGTGGTAACAACTGCTCTTCCATGTTGGTGTGCAGAGTATATGAGAATTTTTCAGAAGTGCCCAGCCCAGCATCTGGAACACAACGGGCAAAGAGAGCTGTTAGTTGCCTCTTTCTGCTCCTGCTTCAACCTGCTCATGGACTCAAGCCTTGGCGTGTCCTGCTGTTCACCTGCCACAAGGCCCAGCGAAAGTCTTTTCCATGATGCTGCCTCCATTTATGCTGAACTATTCCTCCCAACTCACTTCTCTCCTTAGGTGTCTGTGGACATTCTAGACACCAATACTTAGCACATATATTGGGAATCTGACCCAGAAATCAAAGATCAGAAGAAAATTAGTTATCGACTGAATGCCATGTGTCCGAAAATCAAGGCATCCAAACTCTAAGTTCATTTTGCAGGGGCTTCTTAAAGATCCAACTTGCTGTGTGTATAGCGTTAAGTATTGAAGAACTGTGCTAGTGCTCGGTCAGTGGGCTGAGGGGGACACTGCTGCCACTTCAAAGTCTGTGCTGGGCACTAGGTCTCATGAGAAAACAACAAAACAGACAGTCCTAAGCATCAGCAATCTTCCAAGTAGCTTGTCCTGGGAAAAAGAAAATGTTGTCTCGCCCAAAGTGTTTTGATACAAATTGAGTTTTATATATAATTGCTATAAACCAAAAAGCATACATGCTTACTTAAGTCAGAGGGTACTCAAAATATTGTAAGAGAAAAATGCAGATATTTAGAAATGACAGCAATTAATCCCCCCTCCTGCTAATACATCCCCCAAATGCTGTTCTTTTTCCATCCTTCCTTCCCAAGGTCTTTCAACTTATTTGAGAAAAAGTCAGCTTTTTGGCCTTGGCAAAGTTTAAGTAAGCTATACAGTTTAAATCTTTGAGTTCTCAAGGAACAGATGTATATGTTGGGATCTTCTAATTTAAAATATTAATTCTTTATTTACTTAATAACACAGAATGGCCAAGAATCATTTGGGAATCTTTAATGAATTTTGAAAACAATAATTTATGTTTCTCCATGAATTTCAAGATTTATTTTCTTAAAATATAAGTTCTGGCTAAGGGAGGACAAGTTTTCCATCAAGAATTTTCCCTGAAGAAAATTCTCACTCTTTTACAAAAAAAGAAAAAAAAAAGAAAAAAAGAAAAAGTCAACCTAATGAGCTAACTTACTTCGCCCTTTAAAAAATGGAGGAATAAAACAGTATATAAAATAAACTTCAAAAACCATGTTACTCTCCATATAGATCAACTGACCTCTCAAATTATTTCACTTATATTGACATAGGAAAAATTCACCACTTTTATTGTCACCCCCTCAACCCCCCCAACCATTATTTGGTTGCCTGTTTCCTACATCAAACACTAGGACTCATTAATCACACATCCAACCTTTACATGGGCAATTTTGTTACAGTCCTGTGGTTTCCAACTCATTTGTGAATCAAAATGTTCTTCCCCAGGAGCATTAAATCACAGGCAGTTTGGGCTCA